ATTCATACAGACATAATTAAAAATTTATTAAGATATCAACAACTTTTAGATTCAAAATTACAATTAATTGAAATTCAAAAAAAACGAAATTCTTTATTAACTTTTCAGGAASTAATTCAAATCATTAAAAATAACAACAATCATGAAGCCAATCCAAACATTTTAATAAGACAAAATAATAATATCCAAGACATCAAAGTAACTGCGATAGAAAAACAAACAAAGGAATTTATACAAATGAATCAAAACTACTAAATTACGTAAAGAAATATTATATTTTTTAATTTTTATACTAATATACATTGAAATTTAAATTATTGATACTATTTATTTAATTATGAACCTAACAGAACATTTAAAAAGTTTTAAATATAAGTGTACTTGTAGGTGTCTAATAACACGAGAACGAAATAATACTAAAGTTACATACACATGATTGTTTTTATAATCAATTATATTTATATGTACAGCTATTATTGCAGCTATCCTGTGAATAAGTTTTTAGGGATAACATTTGAGCTGGTTAGCGAAGATGAGATGATTACCRCAGAGAGTCCGAATATCTGGCATCATGCGGCAACCGTATACTAAACTAAAATTTTGAAAAATAACCGACATTCCTACAGCTAAAAAAAATACGTCCCTGGAAAGGGTAGGTGAGTCTTTATAGTGTACCGGGTGAGTCTTTATAGTGTGCCGGGCGTGTCTTTATTCTTAACCGAGTAATATAATGTGCCGGGTGAGTCTCCCCCTCACCAAAGATCTGTGGTGCGGGGGGGGGCAGTAATATTACGTAATATCAAACATTGCGAATTTAGCCTGCTATAACCAATTAATTTTACTAACAAATCAAATGTCAAGGCACACGGGGAGTATTTTCGGATCTTAAGGTAGGTCATACAGCGATAGTGTTTATGAACAGTGTTTATGAACTACAAGTCCAAATTACGGCCACGCGGGTKGTAAGTTTGATATTTACCGCTGGGATGCATTGCAATCTGGAGATAAAACGGATATGCCCCAGTTCAAAAATTCGTATAAAATCAGGGTTTTGACTTAGAGTCACGAAAACGGTATGAGTGCATTTCTCGTTACCTCTACTATCACCCCATGTTGTTTACGAGAACAACAAGTACAAATAATAATAATAATAATAATAATATATAATATATATAATATTATATAACAAATAACTATACATTTAAGTTCATTATCATAAATTTATTGTAATCGATATATAATTATGATAAATTGGAGACTCTTGTATATTCGGTTCGCAAGCTTGTACTGATTTTATAATTTTTGATATTATATTGATGATTTATATTAGCGTATATTGCCATCAGTCACACCGTGTGTTAAAATATTGCTGTAGCCTATCTTCATAATCCTTAATTTTCCTCTTTTGACACGCCAGTGGTCTATAATCGAATTGGTCGATTGCTTAACCAAGGATGAAGAGATCAAACATAGGTCGCTGGCTCGTCTTTCCCCTTTCATAGACTCTGTTGGAGTAATYCGTGTAGGAGGTCGGCTTAATAATTCTAGTTTGTCTCGGCGTAGAGTTCATCCTATGTTGATACTCAAAGAATTGCACATTGCAATGCTCATTTCTGGACACTGGCATCGTTATACCTGTCATGCTAGTCCTCGGTTACTTACGGCAATAATATCGAGACGATTCTGGATCGTTAACATTCGTCTGATTGTTCATCGCGTGATCCGAAAATGTACAGTYTGCGTGCGAGTAGCAACAGTCCACCCTCAACCTCCGATGGGAGATCCGCCAGGGTTCCGAGTTCAGGAAGCTCATCCGTTTTCTGTTGTGGGCGTTGACTATGCGGGACCTCTGCAGATGAAGGAGCTAAGTATCCGTAAGACTCATATATGTAAAGTATATATAGTTGTTTTTATGTGTATGACTACCAAAGCGGTACATTTGGAGTCAGTTACTGCTCTGTCGACAGATGCGTTTTTTTTGACGTTGGATAGGTTCGTTGCTCGTCGCGGCCTACCTTCGTCAATATACTCGGACTATGGCCCTAATTTTGTTGGTGCAGCAAAACAGTTACGTCGGTTGATCAACCACCCAGACCAAAGAGATAAGATCTCAGGTCATTTGTCGTGCGAATGGCATTTCAATCCCGCTGGTGCTCCCAATTTTGGTGGGATTTGGGAWGCAGCCGTGAAGTCAGCTAAGTCGTTGCTTTTACGTACGATTACGTCTCATATTAGGACGTTAGAAGAGTTTTCTACTGTGCTGTGTAGGGTAGAAGCTGCTTTAAATTCTCATCCGCTTGTTCCTGCTTCTTCTGATCCGAATGACCTGGAATGTTTGACTCCGGGCCACTTCCTGATTGGTCCGTTATTAGCGATACCAGATTCGGAGAGTCCTGATTCGCAAAAGTCAGTCCAGACTCGCTGGTAGCTTATCCAGCAGTCGTTCCGTCCGTTCTGGCGACATTGGTCGGCACTATGGTGGTAGTGAAAATTGGCGATGCTCCGCCCCTCTCCTGGTCCTTAGGTAGAATTGTTGATGTGTACCCGTGACCAGACCAAATAGTACGTGTGGCTAAAATCCTCACTAGTCAAGGAGTACTTACTAGACCAGTGGTTAAGCTGGTGCCTTTGCCTACTGATCCGTAGACAAAATTGTTAAATCCATTCTTATTTACACCTTATATACCTATTTTGCTATGACTATGTTCGTGGTGTTGTTGCTCATCGGTGGTCCCATCACCTCTGCTACCATGGGTCTCGTCGGCTGCTCGGCCTCCGGGGTCTTGGTAGTAGTAGATGTTAGTTTTTTAGGTATTAAGACTGTTTAATGAGCAATGGTTGTTTTTATATATTGTGTTATGTATATATGTATATATTGAAAAAAAWATAATGTTATAGTTCCTATTGAACTTTGTGATAATTAACGATCTTTCCTATGCTCATGCTCAAACATATGTATTATTTTATGTTTATTTAATATTTATTGATTGTTATATTAATTGATCTATTAATATTGTAATGGTCAACGACCAATGTTGTCCCTTTGTGAAATCCCGTTCATCGTTCTGTTGGTAACTGTTCCRTTCATAAGCGCGACTGCTCTGTCCACTGCTCAAACTGATTCGTTCAACTGCTCAAGCTGCTCCGCTCAACTGTTCAAGCTGCTCCGCTAAACCGCTCCGTTTTTACTGCTCCGTACGCCGGCTCAATAGCCCACCTTTCAGCTCCGAAAAATCAAACTGGCTTTTTAAATACTCCATGGTTGACTGGTAGTGCAAAATTAAATAAACTTTTCTGTTTGCCTTGTGTTTTATTTACCAGGGAAAAAAATGTTTGGTCTCATAGTGGTTTTGTTAATTTAAATAATTTAACAAATGGTATTCAAAAACATGAACGATCTCAAACACATATTTTTTCTGTTTTAAAATTAAAAATGTTTGGAAAATCTAGAATTGATTTGCAGCTTGATGAACAAAGACGTTCAGACKTAWTACGTCATAATGAATTGTTAAAAAAAAATAGAGACGTTTTAAAACGTTTTATTGATTGTGTTTGTTTTTTGGCGATCCACGAATTACCATTTCGTGGTCACAATCAAAGAGTTAATTCTTTCAATCAGGGAAATTTCTTCGGTTGTTTAAATGTATTATCATCTTATGATTCTATTTTAAACGTGCATTTAGAAACATCAAAAATATTTCGTGGTACATCCAATTGAATTCAAAATTATTTGCTCAGTTAGCAACATCATATCAACGTCCATTGAATCAGAAATAAAAAATACTAATTTTGTTGCAATATTATTAGATGAAACTTCAGACATAACAAATCTGTCTCAATTATCAAAAACTTTAAGGTATGTCCATCATGAAACCGGGGAAGCACATGAACGTTTTATCTCATTTGTTGATTTTAGGTGCTGATAGATCAGCAGACGGTTTATTGGAACACGTAATTGATATAGTTAATAGATATGAATTAAAACATAAGTAGCTCAAACTTATGACGTAGCGGCCGTTAAGTGGTCATGTTAGAAGACTACAAGTTAAAGTAAAGGAGCTTTACCCAAAAGCATTATTTATCCATTGTTTTAGTCATTCATTAAATCTTGTACTTTCAGAATCAGCATCAAATACAAAAGACTGTAAGATTTTTTTTCAAACACTAACTGGTATGGGATCATTTTTTACTAAATCTTCTAAACGTACACATGCTTTATCTAATTTTACAAGAAAAAAAATGCAAAAAATGCAAAAAATGCGCAGACTAGATGGAATTTTTCTTCTCGCTTAGTAAATGCAGTTCACGAATACAATTCATATTTCATAGAGTTTTTTCAACACGTATTAGATAACTCTAATGATTGGGATAATGAAGCKATAGTATTATCTCAAKGGTTCATCGATTTTTTAGATAGTCGACAAACATACTTTTTGCTAATAGTATTTAGTAAAATATATAGTCTGACTGATATTTAATATAAAGTATTACAAACTAAACGTTTAGATATTTTATACTGAGTGAAAAAAAATTGAAAAAACTAAATTTCAATTGCAAAATTATAGGTTAAATCTATTTGAAAAATTATGGAAAACAGTTTTATCAGATAAAGTCGATTTTGAACTACAGCGTAAAATTCGTGACCYTAAAACATTTGACAAAGTACTTTTTAATGAAATATTTGATAACTTTGATAACTTTATTGACAAATTTGCAAGCGCGATTTGGTTCCGGGTACTCATAATATGCACTATGCCGGTAGAAACGAATCGGTTTATAATTCATTAAAAATCAAAATATTGTACTACGACTTTGTTGATTCTCTGTTTTGTGGGGAATGCATTTTGGATGCTTACAATTAGTATGTAGTGGTSGTGGGATCGTGTTGTAATCAACTGTATAATATCATTGTTATAAAAATTATGTTTTAAATTGTTTAGGGTTCGAAACTTACAAAACCAGAACAGATAAGTTTGAAATTAAAACGAAACGTGAAAAAATAATTTTTGAGAAACAAATGCAAATATACAAGGATTCAATAACAGATCCTTCTTATAAATATATAAAATATAAAAGATACAAAAATAAAGTAAACGACGTGAAAATTTTTGATAGCAGAGATATTGAGAAGGGAAAAGTCATTGACACCCTCTGCGGTCAAACTGCGGTGATTAAACCGGAACACATAAATGTATGTTTTGCGTAACTAAAACTATAACAAATTTCTATTTTTATTTAATAATTTTTTTTTGGTTACAGGAGGCAGTCGATGACTTTTCCATTATGACGAGTAGTAAGAACAAAAAAAGTTTGTTGTTCTTAGGACCAGCTGCATACGTGAATCATTCATGCTCACCAAATACAAGTTGGAAATCCATAGGAGGCTATATTTGGTGCGCCAAAANAATCTGTGCTCGAAAAATACACATGTATTTTAATTATTTATTCTCAACGTTTCAACGTATATATTATGAGTGTTATGCAGTTTAAAAAATGACAGCAAACGTTATGCTTATKAAGTTATTACTGATGATTAGATATCTTTAAGTGCAGTGTATATATTATTAAGTTTGAGCTCCAACTATACATCCAACCTTTTGGCTTTTGTTCCATAATAAGTATTATATAAAATAACAGCAGATGAAAGTTATTTTAGAGCTCCATCGATGTTTTTTAAATTCTGAGCGGAGTGATAAATACAGGTATTAATTTTATAATGACGTGTGCCTATTTTTGTGTCTGTCATAATTACTTATTTAGAACAGCAAAAATGCTTTGATTTCCTACTTCAGCATTCTGGTAGCAAAGTAAATCTGTTTGTTGGTAGGTACGGTGGGGATTTAAAAGTAAAGTAGGTATTCTAAGTCTTCGAAAACACTGGTAAAACAAAAAAAAAATGGTGAATATTTAGTTCCATGTTATGTATATTTCCAATAAATTTAACAGTATAAAATTAATTGAGTTAATTTTTATTTATTTTAGTTGTGAATGAACCTGCTACGGAAAATTAGAAGAGTTGATGGATGAAAGAATAATTCAACATCTGATGATATAACAATGGTAAAAAATAAAAATGAAAAACAATGTGTTACACATACAGGTATGCATAGAAATTCATTTAAAACATTGTAGTACAAAATTTGAGTTGATTATGATTTCCCTGTATTTTTCYTTAGGATTACCTCAGTACTTTTGTTTTTGTTACATGTAATTTATTAATTATACTCCTTTAATATTTCTCTGTAGAAATGTGGCCATTTCCAACATTCCCCTGCCCCACATGATATATAGTTAATTTTATTAATTTTAGTTGTAAATGAACTTGCTACGGAAAATTTAGATCCAATATCWAATTATTTAATAACGTCAGAAGAAAATGAAAACCATATTGTAACAAATTGTTCAATGTGCGGCCGCACATTGAAAACATTGATTTAGATGTGATTTAGCTGTTCCTACCTAGATGTCATTTGAGTAGTAAATTTATTTCACGCGATATAAAGTCAACATTTTTAAGTACATAACTATTAGTTATTACACTGTTTTAAAATGGACAAATTTTTAGTTAAACGACCTTCGGCTTCTTGTGAAAGTGCAAGTGTAATTAAAAAACGTAAATTGTGGGAAACTACAAATGACCAATCTATTAATGAGGAATTGGAAGAAAAAAAAACTTATAATTTTGAGTACAATAAAAAAGAACGTAAATATCGAGATCAGCATATACAATTTGGATTTACTTTTATAGAAGAAAAGGGTAAGCATCGTCTTAAATGTGTAATATGTTTAGAAATATTGGCTTCCGAAAGTACGAAACACTCCAAACTTAAACGACATTATTTACGATACTCTGTAATGAAATGGGTTTTGATCATACAAAACTACTGCTTCATACTGAAGTTAGGTGGTTATCCCGTGGTAAAACATTATTCAGAATTTTTGAGCTTAAAGATGAAATACGAATTTTCCTYCTTGAACATAAAAGTACACTCGCAGAACACTTCTTAAATKAAAGTTGGTTAGCGATTTTAAGTTACCTTTACGATATTTTTGATAAATTAAATATTCTAAATTAAAGTCTTCAAGGTAAAAATACAAATATATTAATTCTCTCTGATAAAATCAATGCTTTCCAAAAAAAAATACGTTATGGATAAATTATGTTAATAATGAAAACTTTGAAATGTTCTCATGTTTTTCWGACTTAATGAGTCACAATGAAATATTTGATATTAAAAAAATTAAAGACATAATATTAGTTCAACTCAAAAATTTGGAAAACAATTTTAACACACGGTTTGAAAAGTTTTTAGAAAAAAAGTTAGGATGGATAAGAAATCCATGTTCTATCAAAATTAATGAAATCGATTCTGATTTAAGTTTAGTTATAAAAGAGGAACTAATCGAGTTATCTTCCGATGAAAATTTAATGAAATGACAAGTGATAAATTTTTGATTGATATAAAATCAGAATACCCAGAATTGTCAAAAATAGCTTTATCAACACTTCTACCATTTGCATAGACTTACTTATGTGAAACGGCGTTTTCAGCTCTTACAATAATAAAAAAATAAATATCGTACAAAAATGAATGTARAATCAGATTTAAGAATAGCAGTGTCTAATATTAAACCTAGTATGAAGTAAATAATAGCATCACTGAACTAAAAATATAGTAAAAATATAGATTAATTTCATAAAAATATCATTAATAATGACCCCATAAACATTTTATCAAATTGATGAAGAAAAATTTGTCAGTTTGGAAACGGAAAGTTTGTTTATAGAATTTGTATCAATTTAATAACTTATTTATCACTTAAATTATCACTGAATTAAATTTATTACTATTGATAAAT